TTTTCCGTTCACTGCGAGAATCACGCGTTATGCGTGAAATCGAACGTAAAAACAGGACAAACAAAGGTCATAGCGTCGTAGTCGTGTCAAACATCGCGTGGGATTCAACAAACGCGAAAGTATTTCGGGGACATTTCCATGCTTAATAATGTGCTGTCCACTTTTGATGATAGGCAATTTCGATTAAGTAAGGGTATTTGGAAGCAATATTCTTCTGTCAAAGATCGGCCGGTCAATGTAAGCTACAAAATAAAGAAATTCTAGTTCAAAATCAAATCGTTTGATTTTTGCGGCAGACGTTCGACGCGCATCTTTCATGCATCTCGCGAGATCTCGCAATTGTACGGAAAATCACCTATTGCTTGTTTTTATCTGGACTGACTTTGAAATACGTGTTAGGCTGGTCACACCTTCATTCCAGTTAGGTGACAAAACTTGTCAAAAAAATCCCATCCCACCATTGCCATGGCAATGGCCCAAAAAAATACTTGTTTACATTCCTTCAGTAGATCTCCAATCAGCCTACTGCCTTGTTTTGGTAACATAAAATCTGCTAAAATTCAATGCGGGGAAAATTTCTTGCACTGCAGTCTTTTAGAAAAATTCACCACTTTATTTCTTCTTTATTCCAGCTCAGTATGAATGGATATATTTCGTTTACAGAACCTTATAAACAATCTATACCACAACGTCCATTTCCTTCCCCTGCTGGTCGGGTGATTATTGCTCCATATTGGACTGATATAGATACTTCATTAGGTGATGGTGTATTATATTACAAATCATATATCAAGTCTTCCAGTATAGTAGATGTGTATTCAAAAACAGTATTAGATTTATCTTCACAACATGTACAGCAATATTTTAACTTATCAGATTTCCAGTCAACGTTTGTATTTATTGCAACTTGGTATAAAGTTGCACCCTATCCTGCCAGGATTTATGCTGATGCAGAGGTGAGTTCTGATAATAATATATAACCCTAACTCATTTAATACAACTACAGTTGAGTGTAAACACAGTGCTTGTATAGGAGTAACAAATATGTCATAATAATAAGGTTATTACGAGGATGTCCCTAGGTATGCACAAAGACAGTACAGCCAGAGTATCGAACGACCGACGCGCAGCAGAGATCGATGCGATGGCGTACTGTCTGAGTGCATACTTTGAGGTATCCTTGTAATAACCTTATTATTATACATCTTTACCTTCCAACGATACATGGGAATGTCAAAATCCTAAATTCTTGTGTGGAGTCCGGTCAAACCCTGGTGGCAGCCATGTTTGTTTTTATTATTAAATATTTATTCCATATTTGGAATTCGAATTTCCTTATATGGTAGGATGAAAATACCCCATAAAATACCGCAAAATTACTACACCTTGTAACTTATGGCATTACGGTGACATATGTATAATAATAATAATATAATATATAATAATTCTAATTATTAATTGCACTTTTTCATTTAAAGTGAATGTATAATATGAGTGTAACCATTTACTG